CTAAGGCAATCTGAGCTGAACAGTAAAAGCAAAACGTATATTAGACATAGTGATATATGTATATGCACGCTGCATATACAGCATTCGTACGCAACTTGCAAAGATTATAAAACATTACCTGCTGCTGCCGTCGTCACTGAAGTTGTTCACAAGTACATCATCTTCCTGGCTCTATTGCTTATAGATATTTTGCTTTTTTTCAGGGTCCAGAACTTATAAAAAGAAGTGAAAAAATGTTGTCAGCGTAAAGAGCTTGCATAGCATGTTGGAGGATACTTGCTGAATGATAGGAACTCACACTCGCTTAACAGTGAGCATATCTTTTCTGAGAGTTCACGAACTATAAACAGGAACAAATGATTTGTCATAGTGGAGAAAACTATGTTGGGGCTCTTTACTCACAAACCTAATGAAGCCATGACGGTTTACACCAGCTACAGTCCTGCCACCGCCCGATCTGCCGCTGTGAACAAGGTAAAAGAGGTGCCTCAGAATACAACATCCAATTTCCGCACAGAACCTGCTGAGCTGTGGAACTGTACACTTGGTCTGCTCGCAGAGCTCAGCGTACCTGAAAATTAAACGTGTTTATCCATTTTATTCTGACGGGGGAGAAACCCGTACGCAGACTTCATCTCTGGCTCCTATCACTTTGATTCAAAATGATCAAGGATGTGTAAAATTTAAACCAAAACAAGCAGCTTAAAGCCTGTTTAAGTCCAGAATGAGGGTGCATCGCCTTAAACAAGTCCACCGAAAGAATAAGTTAAATGCATGGAAATTCAGGGTTTAGATGTGGCCACCATCTTACGTTATGGAATATTATTTTACTTATACCAAATAGTCACAGACACCAAAAAAAGAGAAAGGCGTTTTAAGTCTTAAGCTTTCGAAGCATAAACGCAAATGAGATTAAGTAAAGGAAACGTGCCTGTAACCACTTCTAGATTATTTTTCAATCACCACATAATTATTTTTGCATTTTTATAGCACTGTCCTTGAAATACAACACAAGCGCTCGCTAATATGGGCTGCTCTAGGGAAGTTTTAAAGTTGCCTTTAAGCAGAGAAAAAGATTACCATGGGCATCCCGAAGAGAGTGAGAAAGAAGAAAAATGAGCAAAAAATTATGGAAAGGTCAGAACACGAACTGCTGAAACACCTGCTCAGCAGATGAATGTTTAGAGAAAGCACCAGAAGGCTGCCAAACTTACACTCCAGGTGGTTTGACAGAAAAACAGCTTTTGGGGTTTTAATTCCTTTTTACATTAAAAGAAATTAGAAGGCGTGTTAAAAATCATATGTCAAAAACAGTACTAAAAGAAAGAAATATTTTTCCCGGAAACCTTTGGCTCGAAGGAAGAGATACCCAGGTATCAGATTCTTCCGGCGGACGTACCTAGCGGTAGTTATCCTAGGAGCATTTCAAACTATCTGTAAGATAAAGAAACATTCCCCAAACAAATGTCTCATAAAATGCAAACCCAGCTTAAAATATTACCATCAGAGATAACGTTTCAGAGTCAGACTGAAGAGGTCGACCAAACTGAGTCCCATCGGAATCGATCCTGTATATACTGCTAGGCAATATTTTCATTAAGGACGTAAATAAGGAGAAGAAAATCCATTTGTTACGTTTGGGGCTGACAGCAAGATGGAGACACACTGCTGCAAATCTCTTAGCAACATCTTTAATGTCAAAATCATCTTGGCAAATTAGAAAAATAGCCAAGAAAAAACCAGCTGTGTTCTATGAGGACAAATTTAACATAGGTACGATTAAGCAGCTGCAGCGTTCCAGTACAGGAAAACTACTCATTAGGGAGCTGTGCGGATAATAACGCAGTTATAACAAATCACAAGCTGACCAAGAGTCACCAATGGTTTGCTGCTAATTGAAGTCTAACATGGTGCTTGCATACCAGGGGTTTAAGCAGAACAACGCACAAAACACAAGAACAAGCTATGTAATATGCATGTCATGGCTTCATTTTCCTTACCTCCGGTAAGGACTTTGCTGGAGCATTAGGACAAATCTTGGGTACCTCACTTCTACAGAGCATTTCACCGAAAAGAGAGCAACGGCAACAGCCAATGATACAAAAAACAGGAAGAGGAAAGCTAAAATAGATTGGGGTTGCCTGGTTTAATACGAAAGGCTGCGGGAACTTGGAAATCTTCATATATCAAAAAAGACTGATCCGGGGACAGAAAGCAGCCAGTCAGTGCCCTCCAAGGGGAACAAAGCACCGGGATCGACTCTCTGGGAAAAGTGGGGAGCTGTGAGAGAAACGCAAATATTTAACAGGCTTTGCCCCAATATCAGTGATGTTTTCAGTACCAAAACAATGATTAGATGGCCATCTTGGGCTTCTCTTAGCACTGTGTTTTCTGAAGATTTTATATCCTGAAGAAGATCAGTCTTCTGGTATTGAGGGGGTGGTTTGGGTTTTCAGCTTTTTTTTTGTTTGTTTTTTGAAATCCAGTGATGACCAGATTTTTCTCATGGGGTAGCTTGGTAATACAAATTCAGGTAAGACAGATAATCCAATTGCTTTCTTTACAGGTAAAAGCTTAGGCCCCGAATTCAAAAGCAACCCCCATTTCCTGTCACATCTGCTTTTCTTTTGCTGTGTTACCTTAAATATCCAATAATGCTTCGGAATAAATTCTTCCCCTCTTCTTGTCTGCATGTGTCAGAAACAATTCATTTCAACCAGCACAGTATTCACGAAGAACTAACACCGCAGCAAAGTCACAGCTTTATTTCACTAGCCCTTAAAACCCAGCAGACTCAAGGTAATCTGGGCTATGTTCCATAGTTTTTTTCCCAGCATCTTTCACTCCGAATTGAGCAGGACAAGCAAAATAAAGAGGATTCAAGTATTTAACATCAGATGGTGGAAAAAAGGCTCAGTTTAGAAATTGTGTACAGACACAGCGGATTGGAGAACCTGTTTGAAAACACTCTTTTCCACGTGGTCAGTGCTTTGATTTCTCTTAATCTCAGACCAAGGAATTATTAATATTTCCTATTCCAATATTTTCTTATTGCACCTTCATACCACTACTTGAGCTTTTACTAAGTGGAACATATGACAGAAATAGCCTATTCTGCATACAAAAACTTAAATGCTTTTTACTGGTTCAAATAAGAAACAGGTGCCGCAGTGCGGGCAGAGATCACTGTAACACTGTGTTCTAATGAGTGCGGACTAACTTATTTCCCCGCTCATCAATTTGAGCTATCTGTCTCAATATTGCTTTGCAAATAGGTTCTGAGGGTTTGTTCCTTGTAGTAGTTTAAGCATGAACAAAGCCAGCAATCCAGACAAAGAGGTCTGTTCCCATTCTGACTCCAGCACCATTTCCGTAGTGCTTCAATACAGCCAGCCGGTGCTTCCATGACACAGCTGAAACTGACAACTTCTGCTCAGGTTTGGGTAAGAACTTGACTGTGGTCTACTTCAGACTTCACTGACATTTCACCTTACCTCACAAGTACAGCCTGTGATGTTCTAGGGCGAGTCCCATACCTCCTGAAACTTGGCTAACACGTATTTGAATGGGTCCCTAGGGAAATCTCAGTGACACTTGTGTGCATACTTCTGTTGCTTCTAGGAACTTACATTTGCACCTCTAAGGCAACTCTTATTTAATACCATGCATCTTGACTGCTGCATTATTTATATTTCTCCCCTCTGTGCCCATAATTGTTTTCCTGTATAGGATTATAAGAAGCTGTACATTAAAATAAACCCCTTGCCCCAACCACAATAGCTTCAATTAGCACATTGACTTTTCATTTTTAAATCACCATCCAAGTAACATCATCTCAGGCTGTATAAAGTTTTTTACATTTGATTTATTCCACGTGATTTCTAGGTAACATTTTCTGCACATTGATTCCCTCCCTCTCACCGTGTTTGTCTTGTTATCTGCATAAGCCAAAGGTAGCTGCAGCAAAACACAGATACAATGTAAAAAACAGACTACTATAGGAGGGCAATGAATTGTGCACAAATTGGATTTTATTTACGTCTCTACAATTTGAGCTTCAATATTCAGCATGACTCAGCCAGACAGGACCCGATAGCTGGCTACTGTACACTGTGCTGGGGCCAAACTGTCCCAAAACTGCATCTGTGGGCAGGACACCAACCAAACCCTACCACGGGTGTGATCGTCAGCCTCTCTCAATCAACAGCTCTCATTTTCAAATGTGAAACACAGGAAGTAACATAGAATTCTTCGTTTCAACAACAAAAATGCCGAGATGCCTTCTAGGACCCAATCAAGCAGATGCAACAGTATTTAATTAAAGTTCTCACTTGGCATTTCAAGAGATATTTCGGCTATCAATTCCCTCTTACGTTTAAGAGCTGAGTAGCTATTAAGTGGGAGGGTTTCCATTTATATTTTTCTAACTGTAGCTCAGAGCTTAAGCAAGTTCGGCATTGACCAATCTGAAGCCAGTGGGATTTCGGGTGTCTCTTGCACAGGTTTGATTTTTTTTTTTTTAAGGTAAGTGAAAAGCCTAACTGCAATCTTAGATACATAAATAACTTTTGCCACTAATGCAATTCAAGGTTTCTCTAGTAGAAGGAAAACAATATATTTAATTTCCCTATTTTCTGCACAATTAACACATTGGTTATTGCAATATTTTTCTTGTATGCTAGACTTTCGGTAATGCTTTGTAAATTAATAAGTTTAAGCCTTGTGCTTTTCACAGAATTTTTTTCCCCCATCTAGTTTCAAGCTAAAATCAGCATCTGTCTTTCAGCGCATCTAGTGCGTCTTCTTAGGTGGTTCCCAACTTGTATTCCAGAGCTGTAGCGGAGTGCGTTCCGTTTTGGTTGCATAATTTGCAAGAGAAACTTCAGCACTTTGAACACCCCTGTGCTTTCAGTGCTCTTCAGTCATGACACATTCAAGCAAACATACTGACTTTCCTTTGGCAAAGGCGGTGCGTGGGTATTCACAGTAGGCCAGTCACTTCAGACTGTAGTCTCCGTTTTTTTAACAGTTCGACTATGAAGGTGCCGGCATATCATACTCTTCTCTTTTAGGTACCTGAGGTAAAGAGAGTGCATTCAAGTAACACAGAATCCTGCAAAAATTGAACCTAAATTCTAACATGCTAGTTGAATGGTTGAAAAATGTTATAATGAAAGCTTTTCTGGTAGAAAATGGCAATTGCTACTTATTTTTTTCTTTACATTTCCTGGCCACTTGGATTCAAAGCGATTATCAGATGGTCATTTGGTAACAGATCCACAGCTGGTATGGACTCTCATTGTTTTTGACCTCAGGACTCATTATATAATATGTTCAGAAACATCCCCGAAGACAGGGCCGGGGAGCAGAATGAAGCCCCCATAACCCAAGGGGAGATGATTAGCGACCTGCTACACCACTTAGACACACCCAAGTCTATGGGGCCGGATGGGATCCACCCAAGGGTACTGAGGGAGCTGGCAGAAGTGCTCACCGA